CTACTCGGGGCAGCAGACTGCCAAACAACAGGGTGTGGGTCTTCTTTTGAACAAAAGAATGAAGGGGGCGTGGGAGCGTGGCGGTGAGGTGTGGGAAGCTGTAAGCCCCAGGCTACTTTGGGCTCGCCTTCCTATCAACCGGAGGCGAGGAATGGTGGTCGTGGTTACTTATGCCCCCACCGAAGATGAACATCCGTGGAGGGATGCAGGCAAAGCCGATGAGTCAGATGCCTTCTATTTCCTCCTATCACAGGTGCTGGCTAAAGTGGCCCCTCGGGATAGAGTCATCATGTTGGGTGACTTCAATGCCCGAGTTGGTCATGATACTGGCACCTGGTCTGGAGTGATTGGAGGGCATGGGCCAGATCAGCTCAATAACAACGGTAGGAGGCTGCTAGATTTTTGTGCAGCCCATGGGCTTGTAATTACCAACACGCTGTTCCGGCATCGGCGCATCCACACAACATCATGGATGCATGCCGGGTCCAAGCAAGAACATCTGCTGGACTACATAGTGACGGACCAGCGAATGAGAGCCCATGTCCTTGACACCAGGACCTACCGTGGAGCTGATCTGCCCTCTGACCATCGACTAGTCATCTGTAAGATGCGCCTTCCATTCTTCCACTCCGGTGGTGGGTGTACACCCAGGACCCCATTCCAACATAAAGTGGCCTGGTCTCAGTTATCTGATGAAAGTTGCAAGCGAGAATTTCATCATCGCTTGCGGCTGCGATTGGCATCGTCCCCGACTCCTCCTGATGTCGAGGGTAAATGGGCGAGGTTTAGGACTGTGACTCATGCAGCTGCAATGGCTGCTTTGGGTACGCGGTCCAGACCTCCCCAGAGACCCTGGCTGACAGAGGAGGTGTTCAGGATGGTTGAGAAAAAGCGACAGGCCCACTGTCATCGGTTACAGAATCCCACGTCAGAGAATGAGGAGGCTTACCGCAGCCTTCGCTCGGAGGTTCGGAGAGCCGTGAGGCGCTGCAAGGATGGGTGGTGGTCGCGGGTTGCTGAGGAGATGGAGTCTGCCTCAGTGGCCCGTGATCACAAATCTCTATTTAACTCCATCAAAAAAGTAACCTGCAGCGCCACACCTATTACCATCATTAAGGGAAAAAACGGTGATCCAATCTCCGACCCCCAGGAACAGGTTCGCAGATTTGCTGAGCATTTCTGTGAGGTCCCGGGGGAGGGAAAATCCCTCAGCCAGGAAAACATCGTGGCACAAAGTGAGGATGACCCTGCTGAGGCTGCGGTGCCTCAAATATTGGAAGAAGTCACCCCCTGTGAGTGGCTGGCTGAGGTGCCATCTGCTGAGGAAGTATTGAAGGCGATCCGGAGTCTGAGACCAGGAAAGGCAGCGGGCAGAGATGATCTCCCAAGCGAAATGCTGAGGGAGGGTGGCGTTTGTGCACAGACTGCCCTATATGACATCATAACAACATTCTGGACCACTGGACGGGTTCCGCAGGATTGGAAGGATGCCCTGGTGGTCCCCCTTTTTAAGAAGGGGGACCGCACAGACTGCAACAACTACAGGGGCATCTCACTCCTCAGTGTGCCGGGAAAGGTCCTGGCAAGGATTATTCAGCATCGCCTTGCCAGGCACGCTGAGGAGAGGCTTGCGGAGCCCCAATGCGGTTTCAGGAAAGGGCGGTCCTGCACAGATGCCATATTTTCTGTCCGTCTGCTACAGCAGAGGTGTAGGGAATTCCAACAAGACCTACATCTCTGCTTTATTGACCTGGTCAAGGCCTATGATACCATCAGTAGGCCTGGGCTCTGGGTCGTTCTTCATGCTTTTGGAGTACCTGACCGTCTGCTCACGATCATTAAGGACCTTCATGATGGTGAGCGGGCCCGGGTAAAACTACGTGGCCGGGAGTCAGAGCCATTCCCTGTACACCTTGGGGTGCGACAGGGATGTCCTCTGGCTCCCACATTATTTAACATCTATTGTGACCACGTAGTTCGTGAAGCCTTCAATAGCTGTACCGGGGGAATCTCCATATGGTACAGATATAATGGGAGGCTAATCAATGCCCGGGTGCGGTCAAGGGATGGCTCCCTATTGCTCAACCACCTTATGTATGCTGATGATTTGGTAATAGCTGCTCAGTCAGAGGAGGAGTTGGAGACGCTGCTGCTGAGACTGGAGCGTGCCACTAAGAGGTGGGGCCTTACCATCAGCCCCACCAAAACTAAGCACCTGCCTGGGTATTTTGTACCATCGGACACTCCACCCCCACAACTCCCAATCGGTGATGGGGCAGTTGTGGAGAGAGTGGAGAGTTTCCCATACCTGGGCAGTGTGCTTATGATTGGCTCCAGTTTAACAGCAGAGGTCTCACTCCGAATCAGTCGAGCGGCAATATCTTTTCATCGGTTGCGTAACGCTGTGTGGAAGCTACCTGGTCTGTCGCTCCGCACTAAGCTTCAGGTCTTCTCGGCCACGGTCATTCCCTTCCTTCTCTACGCTTGCGAAACGTGGACCCCCCTAATGGAACATCTTCGCCGGTTAGAAACATTTAGGCTGGCCTGCCTACGATCCATCCTGGGTTTAACCAGACTGGATTGTGTGAGGAGCTCACAAATCCTTGAAAGATCTGGGCAGGGTCCCATCGGTGAGCTCCTCCGGCAGGCAAGGCTGCGATGGCTGGGTCATGTAGCCCGCATGCCCAGCCACCGCATGCCGAAACAGCTTTTGTTTGGCCGGATTGAGGGGGCTAAGCGGGCGCGGCACGGGCTAGAGAAGAGATGGAGTGATGTGGTACAGGAAGACGTGGAGCTGAGTGGACTTGCCGATGACTGGTACCAGCGGTGTCAAGATCGGCCTCTGTGGAGGAGGCTCGTGAAGGATGCTACTGGGCAGTTGGAGGCAGTCGCCCTCCAACAACAACGGAGGGCGGAGGAGCGACGCTCAGAACAACGAGCGGAGCGCCGGGTGGCTAAAGAACAGCAGATTGGCACAGTAGGGGGCACAGGTGGTGCATCAGCCAGTCATCTCAGTCAGTCGACCCGTGGCACCTGGGTCTGCCCAGTGACCTCCTGCCAACGGGCGTTCGACACTTCACGTGGCCTCACGGTGCACATAGCCTGGCACAAGCGTCGTGGTGACGTCACCGCCACTTAGTGGCGAATGGCGGTTGTTGTTGTGTGACTGTGTGTGTGAGTGTGTGTGTGACTGTGTGTGTGTGAGTGTGTGTGACTGTGTGTGTGACTGTGTGTGAGTGTGTGAATGTGTGTGTGTGACTGTGTGTGTGTGACTGTGTGTGTGTAAGTGTGTGTGACTGTGTGTGTGTGACTGTGTGTGTGACTGTGTGAGTGTGTGTGAGACTGTGTGTGTGTGACTGTGTGTGTGTGACTGTGTGTGTGACTGTGTGTGTGTGACTGTGTGTGTGTAATGCAACCCAATCTCCCCCTTCTCCCATTGCCACACTACGACCACAGCTCTCCTCTCCACGGCGTCCACGTCTCAGGTGACAGCTCGCCCGACAGCGCAGCTACTACGACAACAGCAGAAACAGCAGCAGCAGCAACAACAGCAGAAACAGCAGCAACAACAGCAACAGCAACAACAACAGAAACAACAACAACAGCAACAACAGCAACAACAACAGCAACAACAGCAGCAACAACAGCAGCAACAACAGCAGCAACAACAACAGAAACAACAACAACAACAGCAGCAACAACAGCAACAACAACAGCAACAACAGCAGCAACAACAGCAGCAACAACAACAGAAACAACAACAGCAACAACAGCAGCAACAACAGCAGCAACAACAGCAGCAACAACAACAGAAACAACAACAACAACAGCAGCAACAACAGCAGCAACAACAACAGAAACAACAACAGCAACAGCAGCAACAACAACAACAACAGCAGCTACTACGACAACAACAGCACCAGCAACAACAACAGCAACAACAACAGAAACAACAACAGCAACAACAACAGCAACAGCAGCAACAACAACAACAGCAGCTACTACAACAACAGCAACAACAGCAGCAGCAGCAACAACAGCAACAACAGCAACAGCAGCAACAACAACAGCAACAACAACAGCAACAACAACAACAGCAGCTACTACGACAACAACAGCAGCAACAACAACAGCAGCAACAGCAGCAGGCAGACGGCGTTCGATCACCTCCGCCCTCCTACAGCTCCACGCCCCCCCCCTGCCCCCCCCACGCCCCCCCCCTGCCCCCCTGCCCACGGGGTAGTTCGCTGGGGCGAAGGGGGTGACCCTCAACTCCACCACCGGATGAACGTCGCCCCGACGTTGCCCCGGTCGAGGCGCTGCGTCTCTCGGCGTCGCGAGCTCGGGCAGACGACGGAGGCGTCCCGGAGGGGAGGTGAGGAGGCGTTCGTCCAGCAGTGGATCGACCATGGCTGCTGCTGCTGCTGATGATGGCCCACACAGTTGCTGAGCATGCGCCAATGGGCCCGATACGCCAAGCGGTCAGAAACAAACAGCGCCCTTGCAGGTGCGTGACGCGGCACGCTGTGTGTATCCGTCCGTGTAGGTTGATGCACTGGTGCAGTACAGGGTGCTAGCGGTGTCAAGGTCGGCCTCTGTGGAGGAGGAGGAGGACGCTCGTGAAGGACGCTACAGGGCAGTGCCAGGCTAGGTGCACTGCGAGGCTACCGGGCGATTGGAGGCGGTCGCCCTCCGGCAACAGCGGAGGGGCGGAGGAGCGACGCTCACAACAACTAGCGGAGCGCCGGGCGGGTAAAACGCAGCGCGTTGGCACAGTAAGGGGCACAGGTGGTGCATCTGCCACTCATCTCAGTCAGTCGACCCATGGCACCTGGGGCTGTTCCGTGACCTGCCATTCATCATCTCAATCATCATCATCATCATCATCAACTCAATCATCATCATCTCAATCATCATCTTCTTCTCCGTCATCATCATCTCAATAATCATCATAATCATCATCTTCTTCTCCGCCATCATCATCACCATCATCTTCTTCTCCGCCATCTCAGTATCCTGCCGAGGTTATGGACATCACGGCAGAAGTCCAGAGGTCACGACCCCAATGTTCTGGGCAGGTGAATTCTGAACGCAAAGATTCACAGCCTCGCGTCCATAGAGGACACGGGGATGGGTCGGAACCCCGAAGCCGTGGGCAGGTGGAGACGGGACCCAGAGGGCCACAGCCTCGCGACGAGGCGGAGCTCCCACAGCGAGGCGAGTGTCCCGTGTGCTACCATCACTACGACAACGCGTTCCGCACGCCCAAGCTGCTGGCGTGCGGCCACACGTTCTGCGTGGCGTGCCTGGCGCGCGTCAGCCTCACCCAGGGCCCCGACGTGACCCACCTCCTCCTCACCGGGGTCATCGCACGCGCGGGTGGAGCCCGAAACGTCGGCGCCGGGCGGCGAGACGGAGCTGGCCGCGGAAACGAGAGCGGAGCGGGAGCCGAACCCGGGCCGAGGGGCGGACCTGGACTCTCGAGTGGAACGGGGCTGGGATCTCGCTTGGGGCTGAGACTAAGACCCGGGCGTGGGAGCGATCGAAGACCACGGACTGGATCGGGACCTGTGTCGGGACCTGGATCGGGACCTGGATCTGCACTCGGGATCGGAAATGGAACCGGACTGAAATCCGAACCAGGATTCAGACCCGGATCGGGATTGGGAATAGGACCTGGGATCGACCAAACACTCGGAGCTGGATCTGCGCCTGGATGTGGAAATGGAACTGGACTCAGAAACAACGCAGTCCTCAACAACGCCACAACCACCACCACCAACACCACAACCACTGACACCGCCCCAACCACACACACCACCACCAATGTCACCACGCCAACTACACACACCACCACCAGCGCCACAACCACAACAACAACCTGCACCACCCCAACCACACGCACCACCACCGCCACCACCGACACCAACTACAACACCACCACCACCACGGGCACCACCACCATTCCCAGGGCCACCACCACCACCACCACGGCGGCGGTGGTCGGCCCGCGCCCACTGCCACGCCCGGCCTCCCTCTGCTGCCCGCTGTGTCGCTGCCCGAGCCGCCTGCCGCCCCGCGGTGCCCCGGGGCTGCCCCCCGACCCCGTGGAGCTCGGGCGCCTGCCCCCCACGAGGCGCCGCCCGCGACGCCTCCAGCTCAGACGGGGCCGTCTCTGGTGCCGGCGGAGGAGACCTCGCGGCGGCGGTGGTGGTGGTGACGGTGACGGTGGTGGTGGTGATGGTGGTGGGAGATGTGGTGGTGGTGGGAGATGTGGTGGTGGGAGATGTGGTGGTGGTGGTGGTGGGAGATGTGGTGGTGGTGGTGACGGTGATGGTGACGGTGGGAGATGTGGTGGTGGTGGTGGTGGTGACGGTGATGGTGGTGGCGGTGATGGTGGTGGTGGGAGATGTGGTGGTGACGGGGGTGGTGACGGTGATGGTGGTGGTGGGAGATGTGGTGACGGTGGTGACGGTGACGGTGGTGACGATCGCTCTTCTTGCGCCCGTAGTGTCCGCACCGATCGTGGAGCACCACGACACTCGATCGGATCTCCAAGACCAGATCACAACCGTGATGATGACAACAACAACAACAACGACGACAACGATGACGACCGCGACGACGTTGATGAAGACTATGATGATGGTGATGACGATGATGATGGCGATGACGATGATGATGATGATGGCGATGATGATGATGGCGACGATGATGACGCCCGAGGCGGCTTCGTGCCAGCGTTCAGCATGGCCCTCCTATCCGACCCGGCTCCCGCACCCCGCCGGAGCGGCGACGTGGCCGCGGCCACGGGCGACGGCCCCAGGGTGGAGCCGCCAGTCGCCTCGCTCCACGTGGGGGCCACGCGCGATGGCCCCACGGTGGAGCCGCCAGTCGCCTCGCTCCACGTGGGGGCCACGCGCGACGGGCCCACGGTGGAGCCGCCAGTCGCCTCGCTCCACGTGGAGGCCACGCGAACTCCTCGCCAGTCTCCCCGTGACCTTGGAGCTGCTGCTTCCCTCCGCGACACCTTCCGCCAATCCTCTTGCTGCTGCTGCCGCTGTTGTTGTTGTTGCTGCGCTCCACCGAGTGGCCGGGTTGGGCTGACGCTCGCTGTGCTGCTGCTGTTGCTGCTGCTGCTGTGCGCGCTGGCTGTGGTGCTGGCTGTGGTGATGACCCTTGGTGGTGGCGGTGTCAAAGCGAAAGATCCTGGCGTTGGTGCTGCAGGAGGTGGTAGAGGTGGTGGTGGTGGTGGCGGTGGGGTGAGAATGCGTAGGGTTGGTGGTGGTGGAGATGGTTTAATTCCTAAGGGGTCATGAGGTTGGTAGAGGTGGTGGTGGTAGTCGTGGCGGTGATGCAGGTGGTGGTGGTGGTAGTTGTGGCAGTGTTGGTGAAGGTTGTGGCAATGGTAGTGGAGGTGATGGTGGTTGTGGTGGTGGCTGTGGCAGTGATGGTGGAGGTGGTGGTGGTTGTGATGGTTGTGGTAGTGGTGGTGGAGGTTGTGGCGGTGGTTGTTGTGGCAGTGGTGGTGGAGGTGGTGGTTGTGGTGGTGGTGGTGGCAGTGTTGGTAGAGGTTGTGGCAATGGTAGTGGAGGTGACCGTGGTTGTGGTAGTGGAGGTTGTGGCGATGGTGGTGGTTGTGGCAGTGGTGGTGGAGGTGGTGGTTGTGGTGGTGGTGGTGGCAGTGTTTGTAGAGGTTGTGGCAATGGTAGTGGAGGTGATGGTGGTTGTGGTAGTGGTGGTGGAGGTTGTGGCGATGGTGGTGGTTGTGGCAGTGGTGGTGGAGGTGGTGGTTGTGGTGGTGGTGGCAGTGTTGGTAGAGGTTGTGACAATGGTAGTGGAGGTGATGGTGGTTGTGGTAGTGGTGGTGGAGGTTGTGGCGATGGTGGTGGTTGTGGCAGTGGTGGTGGAGGTGGTGGTTGTGGTGGTGGTGGTGGCAGTGTTTGTAGAGGTTGTGGCAATGGTGGTGGAGGTGACCGTGGTTGTGGTAGTGGAGGTTGTGGCGATGGTGGTGGTTGTGGCAGTGGTGGAGGTTGTGGCGGTGGTGGCAGCAGTGGTGTTGTACGTGAAGGAGGCTGTGGCGAATTTCGAAGCGGTGGTGTTGACGTTCACAAACATTACCACACCAGCTTGGCTGCCTGTCCCTAGGACGGAAGCTGTAATATTTACGAAAAATATTTAGCAGAGTATTATTGTATCTTGTGTAAATTTAATGGCAGTGATTCTTGCACGAAACTACGTCATAAAACACCTCCCTTAATGTCACTGTAGCACTGTATATAAAGTAACCTTCAATTTTTGATTTAAAGCTTTCGTGACTGCAGGGATTCATATTCTTGGTTCATTCGGTAAAGTCACCACCACGTAGAAGGGAAACAATAAAATAATAAAAACATAAAACAATACAATTCTGCAACACAAGCAATCATCATCAGGTGTGAAAACCACAGCAAGAACATTTTTCACACCTGATGATAATTGCTTGTGTTGCAGTCGAAACGTCGTGAGAATTTAATTGTTTTATATTTTTATTATTCTATTGTTTCCCTTCTACACATGTAACTACACGTGTAACTACACATGCAGCTACACATGTAGCTACACATGTAGCTACACATGTAACTACACATGTAACTACACGTGCAACTACACATGTAACTACACATGTAACTACACATGTAACTACACATGTAGCTACACATGTAATTACACATGTAGCTACACATGTAGCTACACATGTAACTACACATGTAACTACACAAGTTGCTACACCACGCTACGGGCCCCGCACTTTCAAGGGCCCCGCGCTAAATGCTTTCAAGCTATCAACTCCGGTTCAGTGATTCTGCACTTGCTCTATTACTATAGTACTATACCGCCTTCAACTTTAATGAACGACTGCGTGTTTAAGGTTAGCGATTCGTCGTATTATCTGGCTGTATAGCAAATGAAAAAATAAAATTACTTTACTGTGCAAGTTAAAAATTTGTGTGGTTTAATATTTTTTATTGAGGGCCCCTTTATAACAACAGATGCTCCTACAGGCCCCGCACTAACTTCATCCGGCACTAGGTACAGGAGGATGTGGAGCTGAGTCGACTTGCCGATGACCGCTACCAGCGGTGTCAAGATCGGCCTCTGTAGTGGAGGAGGTTCGTCAAGGACGCGACCGGGCAGTGCCAGGCTAGGTGCACTGTGAGGCAGTCGCCCTCCGGCAACAGCGGAGGGCAGAGAAGCGACGCTCACAACAACGAGCGGAGCGCTGGGTGGTTAAAACACAGCGAGTTGATACAGTAGGGGGCACAGTTGGTGCATTTGCCGGTCATCTCAGTCAACCCATGACACCTGGGTCCATCCTGTGACCTCCTCCTGCACCTAGCCTGGCACAGTTGGTGCATCTGCCGCTCATCTCACCCATGGCACCTGGCTCCGTCCCGTGACCTCCTCCTGCACCTAGCCTGGCACACCCAGGCCCCGCACTCGCTTCATGTGGCACTGTGTACCACTGCTGCCACGCGCGTCTAGACAGAGGGGGCAGTGGGGTGGTGTCGCAGCAGCTCGTGGTGACCCGTACCGGGCCTCCGCTAGGTCGACTCAGCCTCAAATGAGTCACCCGGTGCTCTGTGTGTGTGGTAACCATCACCATTCGGGGGGAGACAAAGGCGGCCGGGCGTGCGTGGTTGCTGCTGGCCACCCACCCCCTCTGTGTGTGCCACAGTGCCGGTAGCCTTCATAGGGGTGCTGCTGCTGCTGCTGCTACTCGCGACTCACAGCACTTGCCCCAAGTCTGTTTGAGGCTACACGGGGGATATTTGTCTTTGTGGTCTCCTCCATTACGCCGGTGACATTATTACACAACTATTTAAGTGTTCTTTTCTTATTGTATTTGATCAGACAAGGCCCACTGAGATATTTTTTTTTCAAAACGTGACCTGGCCAGCGCAAATGACACGTGCGGTGCACTTCTTTCGCGCCGTACGTAGCCAGCCGTGCTCATCGGAGGCCGCTCAACGAAGTTGGTGGCTCATCGTCGTCATCATCCTCCCCCCCTCTCCCCCTCCCCCTCCCTCCTCCCCCCCTCCCCCCTCCCTCCTTCCTCCCTCCCTCCCTCCTCCCTCCCTCCTCCCCTCTCCCTCCCCCCTCCCTCCTCCCTCCCCCCTCCTTCCCCTCCCTCCCCTCTCCCCCTCTCCCTCCCCCCTCCTTCACCTCCCTCCACCCCTCCCTCCCTCCCCCTCTCCCTCCCCCCTCCTTCCCTCCCCCTCCACCCCTCCCTCCCCTCTCCCTCCCTCCCTCCCCCCTCTCCCCATCACCACCACCGTGACTTTCAGGACGTCAGCCCGTGGACAGCTCCCCCTGCTGCTGACGATGATGAGTCAGAATCCTCCCTCCATCCCCTCCCTCCATCCCCTCCCTCCCCTCCCTCCCTCCCCTCCCTCCAGCCCCTCCCTCCCTCCCTCCCCTCTCTCCCCTCCCTTCCTCCCCTCACCCCCTCACCCCCTCCCTCCACCCCTCCCTCCCCTCCCTCCCTCCCCTCTCTCCCCTCCCTCCCTTCCTCCCCTCACCCCCTCACCCCCTCCCTCCACCCCTCCCTCACCCCCTCCCTCCCCCCCTCCCACCCCTCCCCTCCCACCCCTCCCTCCCCTCCCTCCACCCCTCCCTCCCCTCCCCTCCCTCCCTCCCCTCCATCCCCCCCTCCCCTCCCCCCTCCCCCCCTCCCCTCCCCCCACCGAGTCACGTGGAACCGGATCCCAACTCCGAGCTGGTAACCTTCGTGTCGCTGGCGTCCGCGTGAGTTGAAGGTGAGCTGGTGACGCTTCGCTACTGCTGCCACTCATCAGCAACATCATCATCATCAGCAACAACATCATCATCAGCATCATCATCAGCAGCAGCCACGGTCTATCTACTGCTGGATGAAGGCATCCCAAACCAAATCTCAGTAGCGCCGCTGTTAGTACAGCGACGATTTAAAGTACTTGGCAAGTGATACTCTCCCATCACCATCATCAGCCGGCAGTAGAATCAGCAACATCAACATCATCATCAGCATCAACATCATCATCAGCAGCAGCAGTGGTCTGTCCACCGCTGGATGAGTGCCTTCCTGTAATCCAGTCGTAACGTAACGCGTAGACGAGTGTTTATAAAAGAAATGTAACGTAACGTAACCGAAGCCTTCGCGAGTTTATATATATACACACACACGTAATAAACATCATTATATTAAATTAAAGTTTGTGTTTCCAGGGAGCCGGGTGGTGGTGGTGGTGGGGGGGGTTGCTCGCGAGGTAGGCCTCCACGATGCCTGCCGCGTTTCCTGAGCGCCTCTGCGGCCCGAGGGCGCCCGGCGCCCCCGCGGGGCCCCGCAGCGGCGTCCCGTTCGCGTGGCACCGGTGGTGGTGGGGGGATGGGGGGAGGGGTCCTGGCAGGGGGCATGATAATTAAACATCAACAACAACAACAATTGTTGTTGTTGTTGTTCTGTGAATGTTATTGTTTATTACATATTGTTACATACAGCTGCGGTGTATTGGCATGCCCACACCACACCACACGCCGCTTAAGGCGGTGTTATCTGGGGCGAGTCGATCGGCGGCGACGTTTCGGACGACGAGCCTCGGTCACTATAGCACGCAGAGGATTCCCACCCGCAGTGTGTAGCCTCTGACAGGCTGCAGGGGCAAGTGCTGTTAGTACACGAGGGATCCAGCAACCACGCCCGGCCGCCTTTGTCTCTCCCAGTGGCGACGTTTACTAACACACACAGCACCGGGTAACTCATTTGAGGCTGAGTCGACCTAGGGGGTGGCCAGGACCGGTTCAGATAATCGCTGTCACTGGGTGGTGGTGGCGGTGGCCGTGAGCTGGGATCGAACTCGGGCCGTAGCCGGGTTCGTAGCGCAAGGACGAAGACGAAGGTCTGCAGGCGAGGTAGTTAACATCACCTAGCCACCGTGATGAAGAGAGAGACACACAAACTACAAATATACAGCAGGGGTCAGGGTCGGGATCGAACCCACGACCTCCTGTAGACCAGGCAAGGTAGTTAACATCTCCTAGCCACCGTGATGATGATGAGAGAGAGAGACACTGCAGACTCCAAATATACAGCAGGGGTCAGGGTCGGGATCGAATCCACGACCTCCTGTAGACCAGGCAAGGTAGTTAACATCTCCTAGCCACCGTGATGATGAGAGAGAGTCACTGCAAACTCTAAATATACAGCAGCAGGCATCGGGGCAGGATCCAACCCACGACCTCCTGTTTACCAGGCGTGGTAGTTAAAATCCCCTAGCCACCGTGGCCTGTAATTCAATTCAATGGCACCCATTGGAATTGAATTACTGAGGCCCTAAGTGGATTCCAAAAAAAGCCAGGGCTGGTGAATTAAATCTCTGTTTCGTTGACGTAAAATGCCACCTTCTGTGCCTGGCGTCCGGGTGGAAAATGTGAAATGTGAACGCTGCGCCAGGGGCGAGAGGTCGCTGAAGGAAAAAAAATATCAGCCTGGCACGACCATGGTTTGTTTAAAAACATCGTAGCCAACAAAGTGGTGGAAACTCCTACACGGCGCTTGCGCCAGGCCAGCTGCGATTTGAGGCCATCGTGTGAAGTTGTCGAAGGCCCTCTGGTGGCAGGATGAGGGCACAGACCCCAGCTGCCATGGGTGAGATGACCGCCAGATGCACCACTGTGCCAGGCTAGGTGCAGGAGGAGGTCACGGGACGGAACCAGGTGCCATGGGTGAGATGAGCGACAGATGCACCAACTGTGCCAGGCTAGGTGCAGGAGGAGGTCACGGGACGGAGCCAGGTGCCATGGGTGAGATGAGCGACAGATGCACCACTGTGCCAGGCTAGGTGCAGGAGGAGGTCACAGGATGGACCCAGGTGCCATGGGTTGACTGAGATGACTGGCAGATGCACCAACTGTGCCCCCTACTGTGTCAACTCACTGTGTTTTAACCACCCAGCGCTCCGCTCGTTGTTGTGAGCGTCGCTTCTCTTCCCTCCGCTGTTGCCGGAGGGCGACTGCCTCACAGTGCACCTAGCCTGGCACGGCCCGGTCGCGTCCTTCACGAACCTCCTCCACTACAGAGGCCGATCTTGACACCGCTGGTAGCGGTCTTCGGCAAGTCGACTCAGCTCCACATCCTCCTGTACCCAGTGCCGGATTAAGTTAGTGCGGGGCCTGGAGGAGCATCTGTTGTTATAAAGGGGCCCTCAACAAAAAAAAATATTAAAACACAAATATTTAACTTGCACAGTAAAGTAATTGTATTTTTTCATTTGCTATACAGCCAGGTAATACGACAAATCGCTAACCTTAAACACCCAGTCGTTCATCAAAGTTGAAGGCGGTATAGTACTATAGTATTAGAGCAAGTGCAGTATCACTGAACCGGAGTTGATAGCTTGAGAGCATTTAGCGCGGGACCCTTGAAAGTGCGGAGCCGGTAGCGTGGTGTAGCTACATGTGTAGTTACATGTGTAGCTACATGTGTAGCTACATGTGGAGCTACTTGTGGAGCTACTTGTGTAACTACTTATGTAGCTATACATGTGTAGCTACACATGTGTAGCTACACAAGTGTAGCTATCCATGTGTGTAGCTACACAAGTGTAGCTACACACAAGTGTAGCTACACATGTGTAGCTACACATGTGTAATTACATGTGCAGCTACATGTGTAGTTACATGTGTAGTTACATTTGTAGCTACATGTGTAGCTACACGTGTAGCTACACGTGTAGCTACTTGTGCTCCTGGGACAATCCGCATCGGCTTCATCTCTTCTCACAGTTCTAGACATTTCCTGCTCATTTCCTGCCCCCCCCCCCCACCTCATTGCCACATTGGCACTTTTGCGCAACTTCGGCACGTGGGAGTTGCGAGCGATTGCGTTCCCATTACCCGCAGGTTGCTTGACATTGCCTAGCCACATCGACCAGTACGGGCTTGGCAAAGAAGTGCGGTGGGTTGGGAAGGAAGGTGGATGGGGGGGGAGGGTGTTGGATATCGATCGCTCGCCACTGATGTTGCCCGTGGCCTGGAATCTAACCAATTAACGACAACTCGGTTTCACTCTGTCGATCTCGATTATATTGATGTATCTTCTGGGTTCTTTCGGTAAAGTCACGTAGAATGGAGATTAAATAATAAAAATAATAAAATTCTCACGACGTTTCGGCCACAGCACAAGTAGCCTTCCTCAAGTGAAGAAACAGGACTGTCCGGAAGACAGCGCTTGAGTGAACCCTGCCAAGCTTGGCAGCGTCTCTTAAGCTGTGTGGGAGGAACAGAGCGCCTTGACAAAGGAGTTTACATATAAATTAGCATGTAACTGGGGGATTAGCATGATGTTGGTGTGAGGGATTAGCACCACTGGAGAGCGACGAGCTTTGTTCAGACGGACGAGTCCATCTATGTTCGGAACGGAGGAGGGGGGAGAGGAGTTTACATATAAATTAGCATGTAACAGGGGGATTGGCATGATGTTGGTGTGAGGGATTAGCACCACGGAGAGCGACTAGCTTTGTTCAGACGGACGAGTCCATCTATATTCGGAACGGAGGAGGGGGGGGAAGAGGAGGAAACAGCCACGGAGCGCTGCTCTGTCCTGTGTTGCGTTATAACTCTGCTATAAACTGGACTACTATACATTACAATATTATGCCTTCCAATCTAAACTACATTGTATAATATCGTACCCATAGACAAACCCCACCCTTGAATTATACAATGCGTTACTATACACTACCGTATACTTTAGACTATAAAATATTAGACTTGTAGTATTACACTATGTATTATTCTACTAACCCTACTGTATACCACACTGCTGTATATTCACTATACAATTACGGTACTATATATTGCCTTTTGAATTATGTTAAACATTACACTGTTATACTATTTATTATTATACAAAATGCTATAAACTATACTATTGACCATCGTGTGAAAGGTACTAAGAGGCAGTGCCAGCGAATGGACTGCAGTCTGAAAGTCACCGTAAAATACAATCAATCAAGAACCGAAATGGTTTATAACGTCTTTCCAATGGTTACTAAGCCGTAATCCATCTTCTCGGTTGAAATTGTCTCTGTGTTTGTATATGTGGATAGCCTCATGAACGAATCTCTCATGGTAGCCGGATGGCTTGCAGAGAACCTCCGTCTTGGAGAAGTCAATGTCATGTGAGCCCACTGAATTATAACAGTGATCTGCCACGGCTGAGGTGTTCGTCCTACCGTGTTTCAAGTCTGCTTTATGTTCACGGATGCGGTCCGAGATATGTCGTTTGGTTTCTCCAATGTAGCTGCCACCACAGAGGCAACTTAGTTTGTTGACGCCCGGGTACTGTATGTCTGGAACCACATCTTTTACAGACGGAACCAGATCACGGATTTTATGTACTCTGTTGAATCGGACCTGGATCTTGTGTTTATTCAGGATTTTGGAGATCTTTTTTGTGACCCCTGCAATGTAGGGTAAGGTGATGGTTTTGAAAGGCTCCTCAAGAGGGTCCTTCTTCATGGTCGGAGTGATGGCCTTGCGGATTGTGTAGTCGGAGTAACCATTAGCCTTGAGAGCTTGGTGTACGTGTTTGAGTTCACTAGCAATGTGTTCCTGGTCGGAAATGCATTGGGCTCTATGGTATAGAGTCTTGATGAGGGAATTCTTCTGGGATGGATGATGGTGGTGGGAATCCGGTTTTAAGTAAGCATCCGTATGGGTAGCTTTCCTGTAGACAGAGTGGCTCATTGAACCATCAGGTCTCCTTTTAATTAGGACA